TTGAGTGGCATGGAATCTTATAGTTAGGTTAAACTAAAGATGGCAGAAGTTTTGCTAACTAGAGAATAAGAGATTTTTAATCAAACCTGGAGTGGACCATTGAATAAGGCAGCATAACTAGAGCTTAGATTCGCAGACCATTGGAAAAAAAGATGGTAAGAGAGTGAGATATGTAGAAAGTGATAACTGAAATTGTGGTCTTGTATATTAGGAAACTTATACGAACATTATTGTCGCTATCACTGACTATCGTACACATGCTATCACATATTTTGAGTCATTCTTGCATATTGTTGCTCGAATAAGGCAGATACGGTGGTTGGGATCTGGAGTGTGCATTAAGCCAGTTAGATAAAACACGGACTGCCAGGGGTATGACGTGTAAAGCTCATAGAAATCAGTTGGAACTACTACTTTGATAAAGAATCATGGCAGAGGAGGAGGAGGGAGTTAGCGGTAAAAATAACTTCTCTCTGATGAACTCACGTGATTTTCTTACGGACACACCTATTGTTTACAAATTGGGATTGATAGAAGACTTAGCCATTTGACAGTGTAATACGGATGAATATTCAGCGTACCATTCCTAAATGAAGAATGAATTCTTAAGTAATTAACTTAAAGTTGGTTAAGAGGATTGGCTTGTTACTTTCGCACGTCATACCTCCATGCTTCGAGTTGCGTTGGTCGATGAAAGTGCCAGCAAAAGCTCTGGGAATGTATTCAATCAATGGTCTGATGCTGGAAGTTTACATGATAGCAACAAAGGTAAAGTCATATGTTGTATTTTTTATCGTCTTCCATAAGACCTGACTAAGATGTGAAAGCGAGGTAAAACCAACTCCTTATTTTTCTTTAATATTTTATTATTAATAGGTGTAAGAAAGTCATCTACCTCTAGCTTGACAAATTTGGGCACTCATCGCAATCAACATTCGAGTTCTAACGCTGTCACTCATACTACTGCTCCAGCTCCCACAGGTGCTTCTTCTGCCTCTCGTGCAAGCGCTGCTCGTCCTAGCACAGGCGCTCGTTCTAAGCTATCTTCTGTAGAAGCAAGGACTTGTGCTGATGTTTCTTCAGTTTCGGATTCTGCTCAGGCTAAGAAATCGGCGTCCTCTATCAGTCATCGAACGGCATCTGGGCTAGCTAGCAAACCTTCGGCTGTGTCATCTGCCTCTACCCAAGGATCTACTGCGTTCAAACAATCCTTTAAAACGGGAAATTCTGTAGGGACTTCCAAGATGACTCCAGCCTCTAGCTCATCAGGTTTGCTCTAAATATTTGGGGTGTCTTTTTATTTTCCTTGGATATCTTTAATTACCAAAAATAAGTTCTCTTATCATCAATGAATTTGATCATTTAATCTAGGAAAGGATTCACACTTTCATGGCCTAGCATCTAAGCCTATTCCATTTATTTTTGCTGCCACCACCTTTATCTTCCACGCCCTATCCATCGCTACCAAAAGTGTCAGTTAAAGTCTCCGCTACTTCTGTTGAGGATACTCAAGCTGTTTCTTTGGCCACAATTAATGCTATCCCTACGGAGTCGAATCTTATCGTAACCTCGGCTCCACATACTCCCACCACCTCACCTGCATCGCCACCTGAAGAACCGCTTGCCTTAGATGATGCTAATCTCATTACTTTCGTGCAACCAGACTGCAGTTTTTCTACAGAGCCCAACTTCGAAATTCATGAGCCCGGTATCGGCACTGCTGTTGATGATTTACTTGGAGGTATGTCATGCTTGTCGACAGATCCTGCTACATCGGATTTTCCATTGCCGAGCATAGGAAATCTATTGAACGGCTCTTCAGCTCTAGTCGGAAATGAGGTATTCAAAGCATATGCATATTATTCGGAAATATGATGGACATTATCCCCTAATTATTTTTACCTCTTGCAATCCGACGTTATAAATATCATTAGATTCTTTACATTTGAAAAAAACTGAGTTTCAAAAATATTCTTTCTAAATTGGCATTGACGTTTTTTCATTTAATTTAGAGAGGGCAGTGGAAGGTATTCGTAATTTGTTGAGCTCACTTTTATTTCAGGTGAAAGCGTTTGATGAAGAGATTTGAAGGTCTATTCCACCAGAATACGACGGTGGATTCCTCTTTATCAGCTGTCGATTGGCTTAACTGGAACATTGTTGTTGGCGCTGTTTATGAGACAATCCCCTGCGAAACGTGTTAGGCTTCCTTTCGTAAGGATGTCGTTCTTACAACTATGCTCAAACTAACGAATCAAGAATGTTCTAATAGTTTGTAAAAAAAAACAGTCGTCTTCTGATTGGATCAACCTCCGAATCGACTTACCAAGCACTTTAATTTGAATCCAACAA